AAAACGTACTTACAGTCTGTGAGTCAGAGCAGCCGGCATTGTAGTCTATACCAGGATCAGGAAACAGTCCTCCATAAAATGTGCTGCACACATCTGAATATTTGGGTTGAACTGTTCTGGAACAGTGTTGTAAATACAACTTAACCAGAGTTAAGTTGTATTTGTGATTTTGTATTCGTACTATTTTCTACTTTTTATATTTTTAACTTTTTAAACTTTTCATAGTTTTCCAGGCGGGCTAGAGTATGCAGAGGCCGGCTTGAGTAAGCTGAGGCGGGCGGGCTTGAGAACGGCGCGCCTTACGTGAGTCAGAACTGCCGGCATTTTAGTCTAACGTTACTCTTCCAGGATCAGTAAACAGTCCTCCATAAAATGTGCTGCACACATCTGGATATTTGGGTTGAAGTGTTCTGGAACAGTGTTGTAAATACAACTTAACCACTGATTTCTAGTCGTGTCCTCTTTTGGAAGGCCAGACAAAGTAGTTTCGCTTTCACAACGAAAAACACAGCGGCCTAGCGTGAGGGGAAGCCCCGGCTTAGCGTGCGCTGAGGCCGGTATAGAGTGAGCTACCCCGGGCTGGACTCCGCTTCGTCCACGATGAAAACCGATCCGGCGATCGACAGCACGAAGTTGATGTATTCCCTCAGCGACCAGCATGAATCTGCTCCAGGCATGACGAAGCAGATATCATGCTGTTTCGGAAGGCCAAACAAAGTATTTTTGCTTTCACAACGAAACACACAGCGCCTTCACAACATGGCGGCGGCGGCAACAACAATACTACAGCGAGAATAAAAGTTACGCCTTCTTTCTTTGCGTGAACATTTGGGTGGCGTTATGCAAATCTTCCCACATCTTGACGTAGACATGTGGGGGCATGTTAGAACGAGCCGTTTTAGGTAGGCGTGGTTGACTCTTAACTTTTATAAAGAATATCTCTTTGGATTTGAGACTTTAGTCTTTGCAACTTTACAGATCTTCTTTATGCACCAAGAGCTTGTAACACTTCAAAGAGAAAGGAAAAATTTAAATCGCATCATATGACCCCTTTAAAATATGATTGGATGGTGCAGTACTTAACTAACTTAACTAAAACTAAACAAACTATTTAGCATACACATGCCTTGGCATGTAGTTCCGCAAGATGCTAAATCTAGTGCCTCAAGCCGAGGCGCGAGACACAAACAATGCCTGCCAGCCCTGCAAGATGCTGGAGGGATGGAGTGTCAGCCCACCAGACGCATGGCTGGCCCTCTTCTCTATGACCTATTGAGGGACCTCCAACACAATTAGAAATTGTACAAATTAGACAAACATAACATACATCATATGTGTGTGTGTGTGTGTGTGTGTGTGTTTGTGTGTGTGTACAGGTGATCAACGCTATAGAGCAGGATTACAGGCTGCCGTCCCCCATGGATTGTCCCACTGCTCTCCACCAACTGATGCTCGACTGCTGGCAGAAAGATCGGAACGCTCGGCCGCGCTTCACGGATATCGTCAGTACGTTTGACAAACTCATCCGCAACCCCACCAGCCTTAAAGCAGTTGCCAGTATACCCACTATGTGAGTCAAACAAACTTATTATACACACATTTTGTTTTCATACTATGGTGGAAACCTTTATTTATGCTAACAAGTTTGGGGGCTTTTTTATTTTTAAATAAATTAAAGGGGTCATATGATGCGATTTCAAGTTTTCCTTTCTCTTTGGAGTGTTACAAGCTCTTGGTGCA